GCGGGCTCAGACCTGGACTTCGTGAGGCCGCTATCCCGGTCTTTCAGCAGGTCAGCCTGATATGCTTGGAGCATCACCATCGTGTGCAATAAAGCGACAGCCCGATCTGCTGCTTCTGCGTATGCCCTGGCATCCGAGCGAGATGTCAAGGAGGGGAGTCTTAGAGGTAAAAAATGGCCTCTTCCATTCCTTCTCAATCTTTATATGGAAGAAAGGAAGGCTCACCTGAGCTGGAGGGTTATGGCCAGCTCGAAAAAAGAGACAAACGAGAGCGGAGCTTTTCCCTTGGAAAAAACACTCGCAGTGCACGCCGATTGCCCCCTCAGAGGCATCGCGTGCGTGCTCTTCGCCCAAACAAATAACGCATATATCGTGTGTGTCATCAGATGTTAAACAACGTCAACACGGACGCACACATCCTTAAACGCTTTGCTAGTGCTCGCCATAATGAGATGAATCTCTGCGCTGATTAATCAAAACGCTTCTGATTGGATATTGCATTTATAAACTCAACAGAAACGTGTGTGATTGGATTTAATGCTCAATGCTGTAATTCGCACGCAAAAAGAAATCTGACGCAGTCGACACTTTTCATTCATTTCACATTTCATTTAATCGTGACAGCAGTAGGGTTGGGTACCGAACTTGGTACTTTTAAGGGTACCGACCGAATTGCGTCTGTACTATCGAGTACCGATTCACGTTAAATCAATCGGTGCCAAATTTCGGTACCTGAGAACGCATCCGGGTGCATACGCTACAGAGAGAGAAAGACAGACCCTGTGAAATGAGGTCACCCCTGCAACTCGTTTCAACAACACACAGGGCAAGCCGAAATGTTCTGAAGTGTGGTTACATTTCTAGGGCCATATGGTTTCTGAGAAAACGCGGACGGAGTCCATTCATAAAAACGTATTTATAGCGCGGAATGCCACGGAATTCATCTATTTTTGGACGAATAAACCAAAAGTAGGTCTGCCACTTCATTCGAATCGCGATATGAACTAGTGTCTGTGAATATTAAAATGCAAAAAGACGGTTTAAATATGAATCCTGCATGTTCCGCTTGCCTCTGTATGTATGAATGGTGGAAACACGGTTTTGTTTACTACACAAATACTGAAGCACGCGTGACGCCCACAGTGTTTTCTGGCCTCTGAATGAAATTGAATGTATACCTGTGGAATCGTTCACAGAAAGAACCAACCACCGTTGGAGTGGGGCCTGCTAGGTGGGATCTGGCTATGGTGCTATAGGCTCTCAAAAGACTGCTGTTCAACTAATAAAGATATTTATCGATGGCAACAGGATGCATTTGTATATTTGGTTTTGTCGCCCAGTGTAGTGAAATAAAAGTACAGTATTTTTTATTAGGAATGTATTCGAATGTAAATGTAGCCACCTCTAAATCTACTCTTAAAAGTACAAATTTTCCAAACACTTACTCAAGTAAGTGAAACAGATTAAAAGTAGTTTGTTGCTACCCACATCTGGTGTGGTGCGTGTGCTCGTTTTCGTAAAATGCTCACTGCCCAGTGTTCAATTCAGTGTCACAAGCCCCCTTGGAGGTGAACTCACTGGCACACAAGTATATGTTTCCTCTAGTGCAGGGGTGGGCAAACTTGGCCCTTCCAGGCCATTTTTCTTCAGAGGTTAGCTCCAACCCTAATCAAACATACCTGAACCAGCTAATCATTGTCTTCAAGACTACTAGAAGGCTACAGGCAGGTGAATCATGTCAGGGTTGGATCAAATCTCTGCAGGAAAGTGGCCTGGAAGGACCAAGTTTGCCCATCACTGCTCTAGTGGAATTACTGCACTTTGTCATCCTCAGATCAGGGAGGCTATGCTTCTAGTAGTGCCAAAGTTTCTCAGCCTGTTATGGTAGAATCTGCACGTTTGGCCTAGGGCTGGGACAATAAATCGATGCATCGCAAAGCGTGGATTTTCAGAATGCATCATGATTGTCTCTGGAATCGATTCTGATCTTAGTTTTTAACAGCAGATGGCGCCTAATCTAGTTTTTAACCGCACACTCAAATGCTCACGAAGAAGAGCGCTGAAGAGCATCATGTAATTCATGCATTTGCACCTCAGCTCAGATTGCTTTTATGACGCAAGATTAATGTAGACACAGCCCACTGTGAACACTCCTGTAATTCGCTTCAACCTTTTCGAACTTTATGAATGATTATTTTATGTTCAAGTGGGTGTGTGTCAGGAACTGGAAGCAAGCAGAGTACAGCTGTTTCTAAAGCACGCAGTGCCATCTGCTGTTAAAAACTAAGCTAAGAATCGATTCAAGAGAGAATCGCGATGCGTTTGAAAAATCTTAGAATCGATGCAGAATCATTTCTCGATTCGCGATGCATCGATTTATTATCCCAGCCCTATTGGCCACCCAGTGGAGCTGGACTGCGTCAGATCAGTCATCACACGACATGTGCAAAACACTATTCTGGAGACTAAAGCCCAGTCTGCCAGATGATTCTGTGCTCTAAAATGGGCAGTGTTTCCAACTGGTGCCTTTCACAGCAAGGGCCCTAACAAACTATGCAGCATACATTTTTCTCTCTTTCTTAAAAGAATGTTTTGATGATTTTCACATACGTTTAACACTAAAAGTGTATGTGGCAGCCATTGCAGCTTATCATGCCCCAATAGTTGGCCACTCTGTTTCCAAGAATCTCATCATCAAATTCCTCAGAGGCTCAAGAATCCTCCATGCCCTTCTACTTTGCCTATGAGGCAGGGCCGTCGCCAGAAAATCTACAATGGGGGGCATTTTGTTTTCATAGGGGGCACACTTTTAATGATCTCAGAAACAGATATTCACCAAAACAATAACATTATAACTTAAATAGATCAAGTTATATTAAAATAGATCACTAAAACAACATCAACCTACAACAATTCAGATAAATGTATTAACTGCAAAAAAACAAAATTGCATTATACCCAAGTTTCCTATTACAGCAAGTTTTTGCAGCGTTGAGCAATGTAGCTGTTACGGGGCTGACGAGACGTGAGACGTGCGGATCCATATGCAAAGCTTTATTGAGCAGAGAGGTCAGAAACACAGGCAGGGTCAAGCAGTGGCAACCAGGTATATGGCGGGCAAGACACAAGAATAGTCCTAGGGCTAGCGTAGGTCAATAAACGGCAAACAGAATCAGAAGGGAGAAGACTAAAGGGAGAAATCCAGGAAACCAGGCGAAGATCAGGAACCGAGAAAACAGCTAAGGCTAAGGCAGGGAAACGAGGGCTCGGTAGAGTAGCTATCAAA